GAGAGAGAAATATTCTGGCTTCTACCTTCCATCAAAGTTTAAAAAGAAGGCCACATGTGAATAAAAATGATATTACAGAGCGTGCAAGAGCGTACGAGTCTATTCTATTCTGTTCTGAGTAACAGCACAGAGCAAAGTGGCAGGCCAGAGGGTGGACTCAGTCACACACACTCACACAAACAGCTGCAGAGCAGCAACACGACTCCTGTCTCTGCTCCTACAGATTAGTCATGACTGACTCTTTTTCTTCTCACACATTTAAAGTTTCATCCAACTCCTAATGAGTGAATGAAGAGCGACAATTTTGATTTGAGTGCCTGCTTGTGTTCACATTATGTCGGAACATCACCCCTCCGTGTATGTGGCTGCCTGCGTGTGCGTACGGGGAGGGGGCTTCAAAGCTTGATATTTCTATATAGTTTGTAAAGAGAGGCCGGAAGCGAGGCGGTGGGCACAAACAAATGGACAGAGCGGTAAACGAGAGGAAACTTTACCCATGGGTCAGCCTCGGAGGGAAGATATATTGCCCATGGGTCAGTGCAGAGAAAGGACGGGCAAAATCCATATTGGTCCGTCTGCCTTGCCCCCTTTATATAGTGATAAAATATTCAAATCCAGCCATTACTTCACATTAGGCCACTCTGTAGAGATGCCAGGGAGAAAACCACAGAATGTATACATGCCGGTTCACACACAGTTTTGGTGCATTGATAGTTACATTAAAATGTCTTCCTCCCATTAGAGGCACAGCCCTCATCCGCACTCACGTCTGACATTTAAGGTGTGTTCACATGTGTATTTGTACATGAGTGCGTCTGCATAAAAGGCATGATCAGAGGTTTTTTCTCATCTCATCGTTTCCCTGAACAGGGCATCAAAGTGATATGGGGGCTAAGTGTGTGCGGGTTAGGTACTCGGTTGGATTAAAGAAGCGCTGCTTCGCTTCTTAGAGTTAAGTCTCACCTCCTGCACACAGACACGCGCTAAAGTCTCTTTCTCTTTCCCTTCTCTTCGTTATGTTTAACAGCGATGACTGTATGGTCTGCTAACCTCGTCTGGGTGTTTCCTTCTGACTAAGTGCTGTGTCAGTCAGACCTGAATTTGCGTGGGTGTGGGTGTGAGAGACGAGTGGTTATTGGGGATAGATGCACTCACTTTTTTTCTTTTCTTTTAATCTTGTTAAAAAGACCAACAAAAGCACTTTTGTCCACTGCTGCACTCCTGCAGCAGTTGGTAGTGTGTTGTTTCTTAGACTTTAGGTTCAGGGAAACAAAATTCCTCCAGCAATTATTTTTGACCACTTACGCTATCGTTATCTGCGGATGACGTGGCAGCAGGTGCAGCTTGTATAACATTTAGTGTCTAGCCAATGTATTTCAAGGTCTGCTGACATTCTAATAATATTTTTGTATGTGGAAGCTGAAAACACGGTGACGGTCTCTTGCTCTCTCTCTCTTTTTTAAATATATATATATATATATAAATGAATTGCACTGAAGCATACTGATGCTCGTCACAGTCCAAACTAATTTTACACTAATTACAGTTTAGACAGGAAAAGTTGTTTTGCCAGGATGTGTCAAACCGCTGTGCTCCAGAAAGAAATTAGGGAGAAGGGGAATTTTCTAATAGGACTCTTGTTATTGTGTTTGCTATTTTTGTACAAGCCTGGCAACAAGTGCCAGTTTTCCAGGTTGTGTAGGAGGTAAAATGTGCAAGTGCTTGACTTTCTCTCCTCCTCATGTCTTTCTTTCAGGGCACAGGGTGAAGTTAGAAGACCCCCAGAAGATGCAGTTCTCAGACAGGCTGTCAGAGATCGAACGCTACCAGCGGAGTATGAGGATAGGCCCAGGAAACACCAATCCTCGCCAAATCCACCAACCCCACCTTGGCACCACACCAGGTAAGGAGGTCCACTGACATATACGAGTACAACCAGCAAACTTTCACATCTCTTTCGAAAGTACTAGTTGTGAAACTGTGACGCTGAATGAGTGTGTGTAGGGAAAATTCACAAACATAATTTGCTGTTACTTTCGTGCTGACCTTTATTTATGATTCAACTTTGACCCTTTTTATTGATAGTTTTAGGCCTTTGCTTGACTCTGAGCACACACACACACACATCTGAAAAACTCAACATGGCTACATCTAAAAATACACAAATCTTGTTGTGAGTAATTTTATTTGTTGGAGCCATTTTCTTCTACTGAGCTACACCCACAAAGCATCACTGTGCATCTACCTGTGACGGGAAGCTCGTAAACATTAATGGCGACCCACATTATTTAGCTTCATGACAGATGTAGATCAGCTGAAAGAAACGACTTCCTGCTCCTACTATCGCGATACTGTAGACAAAACAAAGTGTGCATATTTTTAACCGTGTTTATCTAATTTTCCACAAACATATTTAAGAGAAGAAAGTCATCTACAGCCCATATTTTCAAAAATGAGTTAGAAGGAAGAATATGTACACTTTAATTTGGCCCTTTAATGACTTAGAACTGAAAATCTCCTTTAATAAGCCGAACATATTTGGTTTAATTTGGCTGAAGTAATTGAATCTGTTCATATGTCAGCACAGCACACGCTGTTCACCTCACCCTGAGCTAAGCCAAGAGACTTTCATGTTCTCCGCAAACTTTCCTGAGGTCTGTTCCACTAATCTGAGAGCTGTTATGTGTTGGCCGTTCGAGGGGAAGCTCATGTCAGCTTTGTCCCTGGATGCCCTGCGCTGGTGGGTCTGGGCCCCACAGTGCGCGGGGTAGAATCTGCAGCCAGGTGGCACGGCCGCCGCTGCCAGCCGAGCTTGGCCAAGTTGCCGAAGCTGGCCTCCGCACACCGCGCAACTACAGCCTCAGGAATGTAGCAGCCTTCCGCTACCTTGGCAATCACGTCAGTCTGAGACTGTCCGAATGTGTAGGGGTGCGAGGGAAGCTGGGGGGAGAGCTGAGAGTCAGACAGAGGTGGTGCGACTGGAGGGGAGGAGGCTGTGTGTCAGCTGTGGACAGCTGCGTGGGTGAGGATGACTCTTCCCTCACTGTTGGAGCCTCTTTAACAGGAAGCACACATGCCTGAACGCAAACTTCGGCCCACTCTCTGGTTCTCATGCTGGCTAATGAATCTCATTACCTTTGTATCAGCATGCTGCTGTGTACAGGAGGGCTTGTTTGGGACCTCTGAGCCGTGTGTGGGTGGAACACTATCAGTGTGCACACTGTTTGGCCTTGTGCTTAGCTTAGCCAGCGCTGACTCACCAGTATGGGGCTATCTTACAGCTGACTGCAGAGAACACGGGGTCTTTCACCCTTCTCTTCCCTGTCCTTACTTACTGTTGATATCGCTTTTGTTCCCCTGTACGGCGTGTACCCAGATGAAAACACGTCAGCCATTTTAGAAACACCAGCGACAGGTTATGCTGAAACTAAACGGTGCGGCTCTTCGACACAATACAGTCACTGTGATGATCATTTTCTGACGGCTCAGGGTTTGCCGTGCGCACCGCAGGCTGCCTGCCAATAAAAAGACCCCTGCAGCAAAGCTCACACTTTAGGTTTCTGACTTGAAAAGTGGGCGGGGGGAGCGCATGGGCGGGCCGGCGGGGATGCACGCCAATCGGCGGGGAGGTGTACAGACACGGTCCAGACAGCAGACGAAGCGCTCGGCTCTCGTCTGCCTCACGCAGGATTAGGGCAGGAATTAGACTTGCCTGGCTTCAAAGGCCTGCAATGTTGCAACACACACATGTAGTCGGAGAGCAGACACAACACGCTAACATCTCTTGGAAGTGTCAAGATAAGTTAAAGGCCTTGAGCTTCAAGTTACAGCTGCCGGTGACTCGAGGCTGTCTATAAGAAGTGCATGTGAGTGAGACAGACGAGGGGAAGGGCTGTAAAAACCACACACCTTAATCTGTGGTATTACCATCGTGACGGCACACCGCAGGGCAAGAGTGGTAAAATAATTAAATAACAGAGGAGAGAGCCTTTCTCCCTCCCACCTCGTCTATCCGCTGGCTGAGCGGCAGCCCGTGGATGTATGTTGTGGCACGGGTCCCGCAGAGCGGTCCCGTATGCGCAGGAATCGCGCACAGACAACAGCACGACAGCATTACGAGCAAAGCTCAAACAAAAATAGACTTGTTGTAATAAATCCCATCCAGAGACACAGGGAGGTGTTTACATATCAACAACACACACGTCTCTGCTTTTGACAATCCCTGCCAGACGCTGTTGTACTTTGCAGATACTTTAAGTCCCGAAGCCTGTTTGTTTGAGAATTGCCGGGTGATAGATCGCCCATCAACATGTTATAATTAAATGGATTCCCTTCTTGCTGTTACAAAAGATGTTTTCCATTATCCGAGGCTGGAACCTCCCCCCCCCTCCAACCCCGTCCCCTATGAAGATGGCTACAAAAAGGAAAGCATAGTGTCATCCTCCTCCTCCTAAAGCCTCCTTGCTTCATATTGTTGTCTGAGCCGTGAAATTCTGTCTCAGTTTGCTCGTCAACAGGACACGTCTGCAGACATCAGCTACCGCTGGATTCTTAAATCACACCGAGACAAAGATGATTGCACCATAAGCACACTGAAAATAAAACGCACACACACACACACACGTAGTTTCATTCTAGTGTTGCAAGTTCTCCGCTAGTGTCCCAGACAGACGGGGTAATTAAGAGCTCATTACAGTGCATGCAGTGACAGGATTCCTGCGCGCTGGCAGACGCTACACTCGCTGCTTGTTTTTGTTCTTCTGTGTCTACAGGTAAGCCTGCTAGACATGTGGAATGATTCTCAGCTAGGGTGGAGGGACTGTGTGTGCGTGTGCGTGTGTGTGTGTGTGTGTGTGTGTGGTTGAAAAATGCATGGTTCAACTCGTGCAGTCAAGCAAATCTGACACTCAGACAATCAAGTACTAAATTGTTATTCTGGTTTTCAAAACCTCAAGTGAGCTACATGTGTATACTATGTGTATCTGTGGGTGGCAGTTTTTTTTCTTCCCTTCCTCTGATACACAATGTATTCGACAGCATTTACAGTCTTAAGGGAAGCAAGCAGCTGATTGAAAATTTGATTTATATCAAAGTTAAAAGTGGAAAACAGATTCCAGTTTTACCCTAATCCGTTTTAAAAGCAGACAAAACTCAACAAGCCCTTGGCAGAGCCTCTAACAGACAGCCGAGAAGAAAGACGCTCTTTTAACTTTAAATGTGTTTTAACAGTTAGAGAGGCAGGAGGGGGAGAAAAGAAATGGAGCACCAATTTAATCATCCAAAAAGAAAGTCCTGGCACTTTTGAGGTGGTATCACTTAACATGTTATTTGTTCCAACACCTGTGTGTTCCTCTCTGAAGATGAATATCAGATACTAGCATAACGTTCCACCATCAAGTCAAGTGCTCAGGGCTTTGATGACGGCCCAAAAGTGTGTGCGTGTGTGTGTCTGAGTCATGTGGTGATGTTGCTGAAAAACTCGGCGTAATCTTCCAGATCTACTATATTACTCACTACATTTTCTTTTGCCGTATTCAGCTTTTACCCGGAAAGCTCTTGCCCGTTAATGACTCTTCTACAAATGTTGGTACCGCTGGCGTCACGCTGCACAACTGGCGCACATCTGCTGCAGCTCGGCTCTGGCGCGCTCGCTCAGTGCGTTCAGGCTGTGGCCTCTGAGTTGGAATTGACTCGAAAAAGTCCCATTTGATGGAGGACCGGCCTGATTCAGCCCCTCCTGCCTCGTCCACAGTGACCACACTGTTTACTCCACATAAACAAGCCGGCCGGCCCCCCAGATTCGAGGCAGCGCTCTGCTACTGCCGCAAACTGAGAGGCTCGAGCTAATTCACACATCCCGAACGACACGATCAGCCAATTAGAAGCAAGAGCGAGACAGGAAATTAGCGCCGTCAGGTAGCTGTGGTGTAGGCTTTAGAGTATAGCCACCGCGCTCGTTGGGTTTCATGCAGACTTGTGCCAAACCCGAGCAGGAAGCTGGCCCTCTGAGGTAAATGCAACTAAAACGAGCAGGAACTGGAACAGTCCTTTAGACACTCTGTTTTACTTCTGCACTCCACTATTTACATAATATGTCAATGGCCACCACAGAGTTTATTTGTTATGGTGCCTGAAAGCTTCACTTGTGGTTAGTCTCTTTTTGTGACCCTGAGATGAATAATTCAAACTGAAAATGTTTCTTTTCTTCAACTGAGAAAAAAAAGCTCTTTTGAAGCCCTGGTGGGGAAAAAAAACACAAAAAAAAAAAAACAAAAACAAAGAAAAGGAGAAGTGAGAGCGAGATGTTTTTTACCAGACTCAACTGTTTTGTAAGTTATAATTTCACATCAGAGCCGGGCCCAGTTTTACATTTCAGCAATTACAGAAACTACATGTGTGCCATGAACAGTCTCTATTGAGTCTGGGGAGAGGGGAAGGGCGGGCGGACAACGAGCCCTGAAAGAGAACATAGGATTTTTCAGCCCATGTGTTTGTTTTTGCTCACGTTATAAGTGAGGGCTCAAAAGACATATCAAATGTCCCACATAGCTGAGCCAAGGCCGTGTTCCTCCCCTCTCTAACACGCTCTCTTTCTCTCCCCTTCCCTCGCTGGCGTCTTTCTTTCTGTCTTGCTCGCTCTCTCACATTCTCTCCCTGTTGCGACGCCTAAGGCCTGAGCGAAACAGGAAGCCAGCACAAGGACCAGCATTCACTGTGTCTCAATGACACGCTTCATTACGGCAGGCGCGTTACATGTCTCAGAGGCGTCGCTAGATCCGGAGTCACGAGGATGGACGCCATTTTGGCTCTAACATCTTCTCAGCCTCCTCCTTTCATGTACACATGCACTTCAAAAAGCAGCACATGTGTGTGTTTATATGCGAGTCCTCTCCAAAACTACACTGGCACCACCCCAAAAGCTTCTCATTAGTGACGCGGTCGCCGCTTCTTCCCTGCTCAGCCACCGCCTTCCTCACTCCTCGGCTCCGCCCAGGGCTGAGGGGCGGCCGGCCGTCTTATTAACAGGGGTAATCTGTGCCTCTGGTATTGACGTTGTCTGCTGGCCAATCAAAATATTTGAAGGAAATGTTTATTTTCTTGAGCGAATCGCACCAGCTGCTTGCAAGCCTTTCTGAATAAGGCCATTTATGTTTAAGAATTTGCCATTGTGAGGCATAGTGCAGGACCTCTCAGTGACTGAGTGCTGATTTGGGTCTTTGCAAAGGAAGTGGAGGAGCTCCAGGGGAAGCAGAGATCGTACACTAGTTAAGCCCAGTGTGGCTATAGGTGAACAACCCAGCACCGCCCTCCTCTCTGCCTCTGGCATCCCCTCTCCATCCTAATTGCCGCTACAGGAGGCTGGGAGAGGGAGGGTGTGCAGAGTCACGCTGAGGTTAGACGGCTGATTGATGCTGTCGTTAAAGGGAGACGACACGAGAAAAATGTAATACACGTTTTTCTGCCTGCATGTTGAAAATATTTACGCACATTTGATGAAAAAGTTTTAAACGGGACGTAGCACTATCCGGACTCCGGAGGCGCGCAGACTGGGCTGTCACGCAGCACATGTGCCGAGGCGCTCCACGCAGCTTCGTGCACGTTGTCGTGTAACAACTGCGCCGTCTCAGACCGAGAGCAAACAGCCAGCTGTTTGTGCTGCGGTGTGACCGTCCAGTGTGAAGCAGGGTCCCACGCGTTGGGCCAGTAGCTCCTCGACCCTCCTCGGCTTCCTGACAGCTTGGCTGGATAAGCTTCACAGGTCTCTCCGGTGTCTCGCCTGAAAGTCCCAAAAATATCTCATATGCACCCATCGAGCATGTTTTTCCAAGCTTGGTCTCACTGTGGTGAGAAAACCACCCCTCCTCTTCCCAGCCTTCACTGCCCAGTCAGCAGAGACCGACCTGTGACAGGAAAACATCTCCAAATGTCCAGATGTCAAGACGGTTCTGCCCAGTCTGTCGAGAAGGCGTTTTTGGATTGTGTTTTAGATTGCTAAGGCGCAGGCAGTGACCTCCTCACCCTGTACACGCACACAACTCGTATTAATTCCCAGAATTGCTCTACTGGATTGTTTATAAAGCCCACATCCTCACATATTGCTTGTATTTGTGTGTGTTCTTGCAGCCCTGTGGCAGGAGCAGATGGACACCCCCACCCTGAAGACCTGCAAGGTGGAGGAGGACCTGAGACCATGGCCAGGTGAGACACTGCAATGCACTGCTTTTTTTTTTTTTACCCCACACACTCTTTTTGTCTCTTGGCTTTCAAGGTTATTTTTATAGCGCTCATCAAAAACCAGCTTGACAAGGAGGTTTCTAAAAACACATTATATGCAATAAAATGCCGTCATACAGAAAATTATACGATGACAGTTCGTGCAGTCTCTGAAATACTAAAAGGCAATCAAGAGTTATAGATAAAATATAAGCAAATTAAATTAAGCATATTTAAGTCAAAATCAAATCAGAAACCTGTCTGAGTGTCTCAGACTGCACACTGGTTGGTAAGGGGAGAGACGTTTTAATGTGTTTAGTAGGTCATGGTTGGTTCTTGCAAGAAGTCTCACTATTACACTTCATACTTGATAAAAGAACAAATTTAACTAAGCATGAGACTCTGTATTTATTTTAGGATGTTGTTTATGCATGACGGTGTCTTTGTGTGTGTGTTTCAATTTGAAACTGAGGGTGTTCGCTAGTTGCGAAAAAGCAGCCTGAAGGGTGAAGTCACTAGTAAGGACTTGTGTGAGCAAGCCTGCAAAACACAATGAAGATCGCTTTGAATATAAGTCTTTAAAAACATCTCGCACTGCTTTGTTTTAATTAGTAAACGTAGTTTTTCCAAACTGAAAGAAACAAGCTGGAAAGGGTGCGCCAGCGTACCGATGATATTAGAGTCTGTTTCATTTTGTCTGTAGGGCCCAACTACATCACACGGCGTTCCCGTAATGCCACCATCCTTCTCGCTTTTTTTTCTTCATTGTCTTCCGCTGCCTTTCCCCCTTCTCCTTTGTTTCATTTGTATCTTGGCGATTTTGATTAAAAGCCCTCTCAGTCTTGCATTCTCCTACGCACAACCCACCACTCCACACCGGACGTGCTGACTCATACGCTCACGCTGTGACGAAGTCTCGCATTCAGACACAAAATGACTTTTAGATTTAGCACTGCGCTCTGGCTCTCTTTTCTGCATTTTATCAGATACAACGCAATGTCTAAAGAAATGTGTCTAAGCACTGACACAGCAGAATTATATGTGTTTGTTGGCGTCTGTGCAAAGGCACTCGGGGCTGTGTGAGAGACTGGAAGCAGCAGTGAGAAAAAAAAAACTTAACAACAGCGATTCTCATGTAGCTACAATCCCAATGACTGGTTAACAAATACATCACACCAGTCGCTTTACAAGTGAGTATCGTATCTCTCGCAGAAAAAGATTTACTTAACAAAAAAATATTTTAATCGCGTCACCTCGTGTGTCGACGCATTAGGGAAATCTCAGGGTTTTTATAATCACAAACTTCTTTTTCCCTTGCTTGTGTTGCATGTCACAAGTTGAGAACATGCAAAATCCTCCGCGCTCACATGATAAAGTGCTAACGTGGATGAGGCTTTGGGGCTGCCGACCGTGTTGCCACAGTACAGAGGTGATCGGTATTTGCATCCAACATGATGCTCCGGCTCCACAGCCTCGGCGCTTAAATAAACACCTGGAGATCATTTGTGTTCATTTGGGTCTCCTATTCTGCAGCACCGGCCCTGCCGTGGCGCTACGTTACCCTGTACTCGTCGGCCAATTATCAACAGTGCCTTCTCAAGCTAATGGCATCCACTGTTCAAACCAGTCAATAAATCAACCGGACGCTTTCTGCTTGTGAAAGGACTTAAATCCCTTCTCAGGAGTCCACAATGCAGAGCAGCTGGGCCTTTTCAGGGATTATATCAGAGAAAAAGATGAGAAAACATTCTTATTACACAGCACAGTGGCTCTTTCCACGTAGCCGCACCAGTCCAGGCTTCTCTCTTTTTCCTCCTTTCACTTATTTGCCTGAGACACCCTTCCCTGGGTGCTGGCCGTCACAGTTTGCATCAAGCCTGAGTAAACATTTCACAGGTGAACGCCTGGATTTGCATCCCCCCCCATTGTCAGCCACCACATTCAGGCACACGTGCATACACACACACACATAAGCCGGTGCACAATTACACACAGAGACGTGACCGCCTCAAACCTGCCCTTGTGTTAACAACCAAAATCAGTTTCTCCCGTATGCAAACGAGACAAACCTCCTGTCATATCTGGGTTACACGCTTGAGTGTGGACTAGAGGACTTCTTGACTTAAGCAGAAAGGAGGAGGGCTCCACCCTTGGCACTAAAGAATTCAAAAAGAGCATGGCGCTGCACTTCAGAGCTCATGCTGGAACACCGTGTTCTCTATAAAAGCCCCGATTCCCAGCTACCCGCTTCATACACTCAGAACATCACACACTGTGCTAGCTAGGCCTCTGGGGTCCATCCTTTATCCTGTCCCTGCAATTTAGTCAACACGTTTCAGATGAGCCTAATGGAGATCATGTGTGGTTTTGTGCCGTAGAGGTTACAGGCAGCGAGTACTCGGCTCAGTTAGGAAGACCCTCTCTGCCAAAGATACACCACCGTTACCACAGCCGCAGCAGCAAACCCTGCACTTATGTTGGGTGGGGGAGGGTGGGGATGCAGGAAGGTATGCAACGCAGTCAAGAGGGAGAAAAAGCAGACTGCAAACTTTGCTTCTCAATTACAGGACACTTTGTTTAGCCCTCTCCTCCAGAGGGAGCTACTGTACTGTACCAGACTCCTCAGGGCTCCCAGCCAAAAACCTGAGACTGCACAAGCCCATTAAGGTGTTGTGATAAGCGTCCAGTCCAGTTTCCCCTGACGGAACACAGGAGTCGATCCCCACCGCAGTTTGGCCCACACATTTCCACCGACTTCAATTAAGCGGAGATCGTGGGCGGCGTGGGCGGCGTAGGCGGCAGCAGCGAGAGCTGTCGTGTCCCCAAGCCACAGAACGCCTCCCCGGTTTCACCCCGAAGCCTAAATTTAGCACAGAGTGGGACAGATGAAGGGACAGACAGAGAGAGAGAGAGAGACGGGGAGAGGGAGCAAAAGCTTTTTGAGAGTCCGGTAGGAATTAGTAGGCTGACTCCACTTCACCCGAATCAACAGCAGCTGAGGGCTTGGATTTTCCTCGCGTGAAATCAGATACGGAGCTCGACTCCTGTGCCTGGTAGACTCTGGAAAAAGAAACAGCCCCCCCACCACCACCACCACTACTAACTCCCTCATCCCCTCCCAAAAAAAAAGGAAATTCAACAGCAGCAATGTGTTGCTGGAAAAAAAACAAAGAGTAAAGCTGGGGCCATGGAAATTGCAAAGGAACTGATTTTTTTGCAGCTGAAAATGGACCCACTTCTCCAGACACAGGGAAAAGACATTTCAACAAGACCGTGGCACGCAAGTTTGGCATTCTCCCCCCTCGGGGCTGTGGCGTGCAAGCGCTTGCTATTTGACAAATACAAGCTTTCTTTTCTCTGCCATCCAAATCCACATTTTACACTTGAAGTCATGTGGGCACACTGGACCCATGGAAGCCACACGCAGACAAACAAATAACCACGGGCGTACACAGGCGTGGGCTGAGCGCATACTGTAGGCTGACATCAGGTGTGAGGAACACTCACTAGTCTTTATGGCATACAACCAGGTCAAGGGCGTTTGTTCTGGCTGAAGGCCATTGCTTTGGAAAATATCGGAGTATCATGAACACAAAGACTCGGCGCGGTCAACTTGCCAAGCAACACTTAATATTTCACACCTTTACCTGGGAATTTAAAAGTGTGTCTGAAGCCAGTAAAACCACAACAGTAGCAGGTAATTTTCCCAGTGTTAGCATTTAGCTTACATGCAATTAAAACAAAGTGAAAATAAATCAAAGGTATCGTAAGTACATTAAGCAGAAACTTAACTGGTGCTGTACTTGGACTGAAACACAAATACTATCGGAGGTGTCAGTCGGCAGCTTTCATAAATCTGTGAATTGGTTCGTTTCCCAAGCTCGGGTGGTGTAAGATCAGCCAATAGCACTCCTTAGCTGAGCGAGGAGGGAAATATGGTGTTTGAGTTACTTGGTGACAGTAGTGGCATCAAATCTCAGAGCAGCAAACTGCCAAGCCGAACCCTTCAGCAATATTTCTATTTCCCTTTTGCCAGCTGAATAAATGAGAAGGTGTGCAGTGAAATGGCAGACATAGCAGCCTGGTTCCACTGTGCTTCGTTACCTGTGAGATTACACTTGGCAGCGACTCTGACAGGTCATTCACTGTGATACACATTAGTTTAGATATACACAGAAACACAATTTCTCTTCCTGCGTCCCCTCCCCTTCTCTTTCTCTCTGACCGTCTCCGAGTGCGACCGTCTGCCTCTGCCACCTAAATATGATTTATGACAAGCCGCACAACAGTGCAGCGAGCTGTCTGTGTTTATACAAAGCACCCCTCACTACAGACAATGCCTCTTTTCATTGCTCTGAAAAAGATAGAAAACTGTGCGTTGCGTCTTTTGAAGCAGTGGTGGGAGGGCTGTCGCAAGGGGGCCTTTTCATAACTTCAGTCTTGTGCACGGGGCTGTGGGATGATGTGCTGTCAGTGCTTGATGACTGTTATTAAGCAAAGAAATGTCTCAGTTCATTACTTTGAGCAAACATTTCCATGGACCGGTATATCGCAAGAAACTTGAGCTCAGAATTGGGGGTCTGGGGAGATTTGCTGCTCTGGAAATGTGGGTCTTTTTTTTCTTGCGAATAATAGAAAAGAGAGATCTCTGAGTCGCTGGTTTCATAATTGCAAGAGCAGTTTGAATGTTTTCTGGCTCTTTCCAACCTTTTGTTTCTCTGTTTTTATAACAGCGACTACAGAGCTCTTCCCGCAGAGGACCACCTTCCCGTCTCTGTCACCGCTGACCGACCCTCGCTTCTCAGATCCCCGCATGCACTACCCCGGGGCCTTCCCCTACTCCACCAACACCTCCAGCACCGGCATTAGTGGCCTTAGCATGTCAGCCTCTACTAGATACCACACCTACCTGCCACCACCCTACTCAAACAACCAATCCCAAAACTTCCAGTCCAACTCTTACCTGTATTATGGCACAGGCTCTGGATCCTACCAGTTCTCCATGGTGGCTCCAGGGAATACCGGGGGCGAGCGCTCTCCCACCCGCCTACTGTCCTGCTCGGGGGCTACAGGCACCGGCGGGACCAACAGCCTGATGAACCCGGGCCTAAACACCCAGAGCGAGGGCGTGGAAGCCGACGGCAGCCACAGCAACTCCCCCACAGCCATGAGCGCTTCGGGTCGCTTGGATGAATCTGTCTGGAGGCCTTACTGACTGACAGACAGCTAGACAAGAAGAGAAGGAGAAAACAAAGTAAAGAGGATGATGAACAAAGAAAAAAGAAGCTGAACACTGAAAGAAAAGAAGAAGAAAAAAAAACAAAAAAAGAGAAATGCTGCATGTTTGTCTTTTATTTCTCCGGCACTCGCTTTAAAGACCTTCTGCTTTTACCAAATCCCCCAAGACTTCTATTTGTTTTGTAAATTCTTGAACTCCTGCACTGTACCGAGGTACCGTCAAAGAACCGGAAAAGCCATACGAGCTGACGCGTTACTTGGCAGAGACTGTAAACAGAAGAGAGAGTAAAACGAGTGAAACCGCAGTAATGTGCCGGCCTCATTTGTCTTGTGCAAACAGGTACTCATCAAAGACAAATGAACAAAAGGCGGCGGAGGTGTGATCAATCAGCACAGCTGACGAACTGAAAAACCGCAGCAGAAATCCCTCAAACAGACCGATCCAGCTCACTCGGCGGGTGGAGGAGAGAAGTCGGGCTGGACTCCTGCGAGGCATGGCTGCACTGCTGTAGCAATCCTTCCTTTTTAAAGCTTTAATTTCTGTCAAATTTCAACATTGTAAAAAATTATTGAGTCAGTTGTGAAAACATTGTCAGTTGCACCCAAGGCTGTTTCGTGCGCTCACGGTGGTTATGCAGTACCTTATTGCCTAATTTATTATCCAAATGGACACATTAGCGTTTGGAGCCACACTGCGCAGTGGACGTTTCGACACAACTGCTGCATTATTGAGAAACAAAAGCATTTTACATGTCACGTTTTTAGATATGACTCCTCCTCTGCCGCGTCATCAGTCAATCACGCTTCAACAGGACAGTGGCTGATATTTCAAGGAATGTATAAAGACTAAAGCAGAGGAGGGTTTCTTGGTTTTTTTGTTTTTCTGTAGGAGTCCTGTTGTCTCTACTCTTTACTTTTCCTTTGATGTTCTTATTCAAGCCCTTTTCTAAAGAAAAAAAAGTCCTAGTCTGGTATTTTTAAACTGGATGAGACAGTTTACCTTTCATATTTATTTGAGCCAAAATTTGAGGAAATGTATGCATATACCCCAAATCCTTAAGCATTTCTCTCTGCCTTTCCTTTTTTTTTTATATAAATATATATACAGTATATATACCATGTTTTGTTGTTAAGTATAAATTTGGAATTTGTGTAATATATTGCTACTAAATTATAAAAAAAACCAAAACCTTTAATGTAATTTTTTGCCTTCCAATGTAGCTTTGATGCACTAAAACTTTTATTCCTGAGTGAACAGTGCCCAACAGCATCTTCTAGAGCTGTAAGCTTTTAAAAAAGTTCCAAAATTGCCTTTCTGCGCTTAAAAAAACCAAAAAAGCCATTTGCTGAATTTTTTGCACTATGTTTGAACTTTCATTTCTCTCTTTATTTTTGGGTTTATACATTTACAAATATCCAGAAGCGTGCCGAACTAAACATGGATAGATATATAGACATCAACTTAAGTCGCCAAATCATTTCGTGATCAGACACACAAACACATTCCTGCACCACAGGTGTGTGTGCGCATTCCCCCTGTCCTGGGAGGGCCTTTCCCCTTTAGCTACACATGTGATCCCGTGTTTCCATAAATTAGGAGGAGAGGATGAAGGGATGGAGGAAGACAGGTGGGGTCAAAAGGGGTATCTTCTTACAAAACCAGGGGCAGTTGAAAAAAAAACCCTCTGTTGTTGTGCACCGGTCCTTTTGTTCTAAATAATCAGTGAGTGCTTTGAAACCTTTTATGGCTCCCAGTCTAATTTACTGTCAGTGCCAGGGGGTCGTAGCTCCGCCAGCTCTGCCTGCACACATCGCCTTGGCACGAGGTGTGCTAAAGATATCTACAAGAAGTATCAGGTATCCAGTATTTACCAGGAAACTCTTTCACAAGAATGAAGATGATTAGGATTCATGACTTTGAAAGTTGGCGGCTCATGTGATAAACAAGTAAGCTTTAATGTCAAAGTGAGAAGTGATCCAAAGAAGCTAGCATTTGCAGCTCAGGTAAAGAAAAAAAAGTATGCAAGCTGTTTTGTATGCCCTCTGCCTTATTCCTAGTTTTTTTTCTAAATGACAGCGTCTCATTCCCATCTCCCTTTGGCCTGGATGTGCCTGAAAACCTTACTGTATTATAGGCAAACATCATGCAGCTAGAGAAACCACCTACGTACTGAGATTTGTGTGGTTCCTTCAAACACAAAAAACCAAAGATCTTCACAACTGCCTGTAATACTGTTTGGATGTTTTCGATGGAGAAAATGTGTGGCAAAAATATTGTTTTTGTTTTTCTTCTGCAAACAAGCCCAAGTGTGCAAGTAAATCGTATTTTTATTGTGTGTTAATTAAAGAGCACAATGTTACTTTTTTTTAAACAATCCCTTTCCAGCAAAATGTTCCTTCATCTTGCTCTCTCCATCTCTTTGATGCTCAAAGCATGTACATCTGAAACTGGTATGTTAATTTAAAAAAAATTTCACCATGTATGTAATGATATCAATAATGCTTCTATACTGAGTGCTTGTAAAGTTTGCGATAATGTAGTTTTTATTCATTTTAATTAAAAAAAAAAAATGTGTCTCACTTTTGTCTCCAAAGCTGTTTTCTTTTGAAGGATAAGATTTGTAAAACATGGCCACACTTCATGCTCACGGCTCCGCCCACCCACTTGTGAAACCTTTTGTTTACAGGGAGCAGCCAATCAGAAAAAAGGCTCAAAGAGAACATAAAAATAGAGCCGACAGGCTTCAGCTACATCAGCAGAGTCCAGGAATGAACCATTATAGCCCCTTCAAAGGAACTCTTGGAGTGAAATGAATAAAACACACCTAGGTTAGATTAAAGTTGCATATTTATGGCCACATTCTTTGAATTTATTTGCTTAATTATAAAAACAATAGCACAGTGTAGCAATACTCCTAGGCTTGTGAGGTGTTGTAGTTTAACAGGGCGAGGTGTTGAGAGTTAAAACACGGGGGGGGGGGTACATTTTTAAATCATCTCCAGAATCCAACACACCATCACATCAGCTGAGAAATGAAGAAGGAAAAAGAAAACCCTCATAAACATCCATGGGACCCGATTCCACGCCAGCACATTTCTGTACTTCTAACTTCTTCGGCTCACACAGAAAAAATACCACGAATGCCACTGTTTTCATCTCATAACCTTACATTTGCTGGGTTGTGCCCAGTAACCCTCTAATAATTCTCCTCCTCTCTCCCATTAGCGAAACTCTTGCTGGCAATTCCTCTCGCTTCCCAGAGGTTTGAAAATGCCTCAGCTGTCAGCGCGGTGGTACCCTGAGCGTAAATAAAACGCTGCTCAGGAATCCGACACCACCCTGGCAGCCTCCATGTTAGCGCACGTCGGCAAGTCGTCACTTGTTAAAAACAATACAGAAGTTTGGAATGTCGGCGGCCTTTTTTAACCGACGGCGCGGTCGTTAATTTACACCGCGCCGATGCCATCTGTTTGCCCCATTTGAAGCCGAGCCATAAGATTAAACACTTGAGATGCCACCTTGCGGGGTGGTCTGATTTCAGATGTGGTTATCCTGACACCAAATACCCACAATTCTTCGCTCTTTAACTAATGCCACCTGTTGATGTGCCATGAAAGGCTTTCACTTTGTTTTTCACTAATTTCTCACTCTTTTGTTTCCTGTGTTTAGACGCTTGCATTTTCTCTTTCTTTGCCTCTTTCATCCTTTCTTCTCGTTCAGCTCTCACCTTTCTTTGCCTTTGTGTGGCTTCTGCTGCATGCGTGTGTCTGTGTCAGGCCTTCTATGGCTGGCAGAACAACAGAGCCTCAGGATGCACACATGCAGCCTCGATACACACTGCATTCAATTAACTCTGCACACTCAAAGCATTTCCACGCAGACACACACAATCCCCCGCTGACAGATCTCGCACCAGCCCTCCACCAAGACGGTCTGAGCTCCACTTTACAGTGCGAGTTCACAACAGCGTTTCCTCCAGGTCTCATCACAGAGAAGCGCTCTGCCTCGCCCCTCGCTGATCCCCCACCACTCAGGAAGCACAAAGAGAAAATGATAAGCTTTCAATTAGGCCAGGCTCAGGGGAATTTTACAGCTGTCTTCACACACTCTGTGAGACCCGACTCTCTTGTCCACATGTGTGGAGCAGAGAGGCTCTCATCTGGCTCTGCCTTAGTCGTGGATGTACACGAGCAGAGCTGCTTTTTCATCTTCTCTCTGTTCCTGCAGCGCTGCTGCTCCTCTTCCGAAAACTGTAACTCTCCCGGAAAGAGGGGAAGCATTTGCCTGGATCAGGCTGCCTGTCTGGATGTGATTGTAGTCAAAAGGCATGATGAATTGGTGTATAGGACAAACAAAACCACTTTTTAAGTGGGTAAAGTTGAAAAAATAGACGCCTAACTTGCCCCATGGCGATAGAAAAGAATAACTAACGACTGCTTTGTTTATTCTGTCTGTTGCTTATTGGCCTCCAGGATTTTTCATCTTTATTCAAAAGAAAGATGATAAAACACTGAACTGGAAATAAGACACAAACAAAGCGAAACAGAGAAAGTTTCTCATGATAACAGTATCCGCTGTCGCTTCTATGATACCTGCATGCGAAACCAATTACAGCCTCTTCTGGAGCCACTAACAACCTCTGCCCTGAACCCGTGAGAAGCAGTGGGCCTGAACCGGCTTGTTTTGGGTGCCTGGTACGTTGGCCAGCAGTCTATTTTCTAACCAGACTGGTGGTGGGAACAGCAACTACCGTCCAAAATCAGGGTTCCCACAGATTGACCGAGGAACACAGGGGCCAGGGGCTAAGAAACCGCGAGAGCTGTGATGCAACCATTCTCACACAGAGCACTGCTTTGCTGATGCAGAGTGGGATATGGAGGGAGAGATGAAGAGAGAGAGAGAGAATTCTCCTAGTTCAGAAGGATCCCAGTGAAGGTAGTTTCTCATCCATGCCGAGTCTACAGAGACTGATCTTTGGAACCGGGCGACTCCCAGTTCCCACAGTGGAGCACCTCTCTGCGGGGCTGTACTGTAGGAGTCGGTTCCCGCTCAAAGCGGGAGCAACGGTCACAGTGTCAGATGGACCCGGAGAGCTGCCAGCACAACACTCTGCTGTGTGACCTCTTAACGAGCTGCTGATCTCATAAAAACACAAACAAATTCAGCAGCAATGGGAGACGCGTCGCTCTTAAAAGTCTCCCAAAGAACAATCTGTTAAATCAGCCGTGTCGCACTTTAACCGTCTCCCTGGATGCATTGCTGGGAAATGTATGAAAAAAATGAATAAAAACTGTTTTTAGATCTCAACAAACCTTAGCAAAAGAAAACATGTGATGTCATCAGTGTACTGACAGCACCTGGAAAATATTTGGTTACAACCGAACATATTTTCCTAAGATATGTCAAGCTGTTACTCATCAGTTTGATAAATGGATGTTTCATTACCTGTGACTATTTATGCTTAAAAAGAGGGGGAAATGTAAAGGTTAAGAGACGTGGGCCACGAACAACACGATAACTGTTACTGAATCATCATCATCATCATCATCATCATCATCATCATCATCATCATCATCATCATCACACTTTTGAAGCCAAGATGTGAAATATGTTCCTAATTTCAGCTGTGAGAATGTAATGATTACTTCTTTAATGCAAAAATGATAATCTGCAGATTTTTGGAAAGAAATTAATATTTTTTCTAACCTTTATTTTGAATCTTAAGAGTTTTGTTAACAAACCTGGATATTGTTGAGCTTACCCCACCCTGAAAAATATCACACACGTCTTAATCGTAAGTGGCGACTGACAACATTTGCTGTCAGTAAACAAGAGGAAGCCCATTTCAGTGCACTTCCAAACTACAATCGTCTCAGCAACAAGTACAAACTTTTAGATTTGCAAGCAAAACTCCTTTATTCATATTTTAATCTCCTGTTTATTTTACTTGCAAAAATAAAAATAAAAATCACAGAGTCTATGGTGATTCTCTCAGGCCTGTTTTTCACAGCAGACCTGTTCTGCTTGACTGCACATTACAGACACGAAAATAACTCCACAGATGCAGATGCAAAAAGCAATAATATAGCCTACATCCTTCTACCCATATTGCCATGTTGCATGTTTTTATGGTTTAACAGCCCCGAATGAAACTGAGACGTGATTTCGAACCACAGGAGTTTCTTTTAAGGCTGCATGGCTGCAGGATGTTTTCTTTTTTCCTTCCGTGGTGGCAATTCACAGAATTTCACATTGCACGTCATTTACTGAGTAACGCTCATACAAAGACGTGTGATGACACCGATAAGCGACGCTCGAAACAATCTTATGACTAAACTCGGTCATCTCATCACAGGAAACCAAGACATGTAAATGAATCAAAAACAGGAGGCCTTTAAAGAAACCCATCAGACCACTGGATGGCCGACCTGTGGCTCAGTCCATGGTTAGAGGGTAATCTGGCTAAGACCACAGCAGCTAACTTTCATTTAGACGTCCTACTGGCTCGGATGCAGATTGTCCTTACTGCATAATGACCACAGCTGTCTGTGTCAAACCAATCTGCCCTTAATTTGATTAATTTGTCAAGGAGTAAAAGTAGAACATTTGAAATGAAAGGACGATAGTTTGTAGTGTTTTGGGATTTTTTGTTGATTGGAATAATGAAATGACATGCTTTTCAGTTTGATTTAGACACTGCATTTGCACTTTACCAGTGAACCAAAATATGTTTTTACTAAGAAAGTAGGGCAGCTTCCCAGAAACAATACTCGTTGTTCCCATACAGATTCATGAGAATTGACACAATCTTTTTTTTTCTGTGCTTTTTTCTCACAGAGAAAATCTGAATAACGATCTGTACATGCAAACACTACTTCCTCTATAAAACAGGAAATTAATACGCACACACACACACACACACACGCACACTATAGCTCTCTGCCAGGCTCATGGTAGGGGCTTTAGTGGGGGGAAGGAAGACGGCGAGGGGAAACGGGGATCCCTGTGGACCAGGTCTGTGTTCACTTGAGCAGGGGAACTTGCTAAATTGGTGGTTCACATACACACTCTCTATCTTTCTATCTCCCTTACTACTACTCCTTTTTTTTTAATCCATGTAAAAAAAACAGCGAGTAAAATGAGGATGATTGCTTAAGTCTGTTTTGGATCATGTGGGAACGTGGATGGCTGTTAAAAGCTGCATTGTCCCGTCCTTTCTTGCTCTCATTGTCTCCTTTGGAAGCAGCAAAGTCAGCAATTCCTTTGCATCTCTACGTAACAGTAAATCCACGTGGTTGTTATCTGTTACCTAATAAGTGGCTGTTAAGAAATCAGTGGGTTGACACAGAGCAACAAGATTAAAGCATCTTTTTAAACATTACTAAATAATCAGTGTTGCATTTCTTAAATCGTCATTTTCTCCTTCGCAGTCACTTTTATCGCAGTTGTGATTCTGGTGCTTTGATTGTCAAACATCATCAAAGCCAGGTGTGGATAAATCAAACTCCTGCTGACACCCAATAAAATGTGAACCATTGTTACCGTTAGACAGGTGACGTGATTAAAAGCCATTACTTTG